GTTGCCAGTTCAGAGTCCAGGTGGTTGAGTATCAGATTGTTCCATCTCGTTTCCCTTTGGGGTTGCTGTAGGTGATCTGGAAGTCTGGTTTTGAGGCTTGTTTATGTGTCTTCTCATTTCCAAGGAGCGGGGCAGGGAGGAGTGCTTCTGGCGCCCACTCGGCTCACCTTCTCAGCCCTAGGAGCTTGGGATGGCAGGGGGGGAGCTTCCTTCCAGGTGCTGGGACCAGCTGAGCTTCTCTGCCCCAGGAGCCTGGGATGGAGGCGGGGAGCTTCCTTCCGGGTGCTGGGACCAGCTCACCTTCTTGGCCCTAGGAGCCTGGGATGGCAGCAGGGGAGCTTCCTTCCAGGTGGTGGGACTGGCTGAGCTTCACTGACCTAGGAGCCTGGGATGGCAGTGGGGGAGCTCTCTTCCGGGTGCTGGGACCGCCTTTGAGTCATTTAAATTTTAAAAGAGTAGTTAATCCTACAGTAGTACACACTTCTGTATGAATCATTTTGTATTCCCCAAACTTGCCCAATATTCGGTGTTTTCCAAATTAACCTAATCCTAGGAACTGTGTGGGCACATGTAATACATATAAGGCCTCACTTCAAACCTAATGAATTCAACTGAGTGGTTAGAAATCTGTGCTTCAGACAAGTAAAAGGCATTTTTAGGGTTAAGTTTTGGAAAAGCTATTGTTACTGAATTCACTATAAAATAATCTTAAATAGTCTCTCAAGCTATTAAGTTACTAGTGGTTTAGGATTTCTTAAATTTGGATTTATTTTGTTTTCCATAAACAAGTGATATCTACAAGTTTATTATCATTTCATTGGTAAAACATGAAAATGATCATGCCCACAACAAAGACTTATTTGAAGATAAAAACAAAAATATCAATTATGTAAAAAATTATAAGTCCAGTCTTCACAACAGTGTTTCCAGTGAAGGTTTCCACACATACTCTGCAACTATTTATTACTGCAAATTGTGTTAACCTTTGTGAATGATGTTATAGTAAACTTTTCCTGTAGGTCAGTGTCACCTATTGACAGAAAACATTTCTACACAAAACGGTATCTTTATAAATCTTACTTAGGGATTAACTGTCAAAATTAAGAATTTTAGGGGGCCAGGGATTTAGCTCAGTGGTTTCGCCACCTGCTGCACAAGCACAAGGACCCGAGTTCGATCCCCAGTACCAAAAAAAAAAAAAAAAGAATTTTAGGGCCAGGGATTTAGCTCAGTGGTTCTGGCACCTGCCACGAAAGCACAAGGTCCCAAGTTTGATCCCTGGTACCAAAAAAAAAAAACCAAACAAACAAACAAAAAATTAAGAGTTTTAGGGCCCGGGATTTAGCTTAGTGGTGCTGCCGCCTGCCTCACAAGTGTAAGGTCCTGAGTTCGATCTACGGCCCCCCAAAATATTAAGAATTGTTAAAGATGTCCATGTTACTTTCTAGAAGTTTGGTATCATTTAATATCAGCTGTTTCATGAAACTTTTCTTTATGAACTAGTACCTTTCATTCTGTCTTTCATTTTGTTTGTGATATTGGGGTTTGAACTCACGGCCTTTGCACTGAGCTCCATCCCCAGCCCTAAGTCACTAAGTTGCCTGTACTGGGCTTGAATTTGTGATCAGCCTCTCAGACTGCTGGAATTACAGATGTATGACAACACTCCAGGAAAACAATATCTTTTTATTGGGGGGTGGATGAGACAGCTTCTTACTATGTAGTTCAGGCTGGTCTCAAATTCACTGTTAAACAGTATCTTTTGTTCTACAGTTCTTTCTAGCCCAGCTGCCAATACCTACCTCCTCTCCTCACCATTCAGTTTGTATTAAAATGCAACATTAAGAACGAAGTATATTATTATTGCTTAATGGTTTACGTAAAAGCTAGATGTAACAATAGACACTCATTTAAATATATACGGTATTGCCTAGGATTTGTCATTTAATAGGCATCTTGTGGTTGTAATAGACACAAAGTATTACTGTAGTGTGGTCAGTTTAAATATTCAAGTGTAGATTAAAAATTTTTTATTTGTTAAAAGGAGGTATACAGTAGCCTAGGTACCATGCTGAGCCCTTTGTGTAAATACATATGTCTTCTCTTCATTTAATCCAGGTGGCAGTTCTAGAAAAGGCTCTGCTGTTATCCTCGTCTTACACATAGGTGAAGTGCCTTACTGGGTTCTCCCGGAAGTTTAAGTGCAGGGATAATTGACAGTTAGGAAGTGTGATTCCAGACACTGAGTTCTTGGTCACTGTATGGTTTATTGCCTCACCAGCCAGGCCAGGATAAACCCTTACATGTGGCCAGGAGACATGAAGAATGAAGAATGTAGGCATCACTGAGGCCACTATTTCAAATCTCTGGATTTCAAAATTTTATTTATAGTTAATGGTGTCGTTTAAATATTAACTATCATTTTAAAACACTTATACTTGATTATCTCCTTCAAACATTACATTTTACGTTTCATTGCAATTTTAAATCATATTTAAAGAAATATATAACTTGTAATAAATGTTCTTATCTACAAATAAGATTTAAAAGTTATATAATTCAAAATAGGATATTTGATCCCTGGTACCAAAAAAAAAAAATGAAATAGGATAAAACTTTAAAAACTTTTATCATGGATCCCCAGGTGTGGTAGCAAATGTCTGTAATCCCAGCACTTGGGAGGCTGGGGCAAGAGAATCACTGTGAGTTGGAGGCCAGCCTGAATTACATAGTGCGACCATGTCTCAAAAAGCAAAATAATAATAAAAACTGCTAGGGCTAGAGGTTTAGCTCAGTGGCGCCAGTGCCTGCCTGGCAAGCACAAGGTCCTGAGTTCAATCCCCGGTTCTGCAAAAAAAAAATCCAAAAAACTGCTATTGTGTTATGATTGCTAATATTGTTACTGACCTTTTCAAAAGGTTAGAAGCCAGGTTAGATTTAGAGAGGAGATAAGTACCTCTTATATTACCTAAATAATTCAAATAAATATTTATTTTATTTTATAGGGATTACAACATCCAATGTAAGCATAATTGGTCAACGTATGAACTATGGGTTTGGATGTGGTGACTCTGAAGATGATAGGTCACATGACATTCCACCTAGTGCATTTAAAACACAAAATAAGGAACACCCAAGACATTATAAGCATACAAAAGGTCAGTAAATTTCATTGCAAATTAATTTTTAAGATTTAATATCTCTAAGAACCCTCCCTAAGCATACCAGTAAAGAAAAATTAACAGAATTTTCAGTTTTGAGGTTTTTCATCTTACCCTACTTGTGTTGCTTAAATAAATAATTTTGTTGGACCAAGGATTTAGCACAGTGGTTCCACCTCCTGCCCCGCAAGCGCAAGGACCCGAGTTTGATCCCTGGTACCACAAATAAATAAATAATTTTGTAGACTAAAACTCACAGGATTGTGTATTGGTTTATGGGCTCACCTCAGGAAACAGTGAGGCTTTGAAAGGACTGTTCCGGAGTTAACACTAGGGAGGCCCCTTGGATCTCTACCCTAAGGACATGCACAAGTACACACACACATACATGCACATGCACACATGTGTGCACACAAAAATTTTTACAAGGCATTTGCCACTGAAATGGGTGGGAAACAATCATGCTAGTAAATTACTCCCAGGTGTCTAGTTAGGTTGTAGCCATGGCCTAAAGCTGTGGCAACAAGAATGTGATTTCCATATGGCAGAGAGCTTCTGTATCATCATTATCCATTGTTAGCAATTTTCATTTTTTAAACTTGGTGGTGAGTAGCACATCTGGTGACTGCTGTATTTCTTAAGAGATCCTATTACAAGCTGCATTTTAAAATTTTTTCTTAGGGGACAGAAAAAGTGATATTAAAAGATATAAATATTTAAACAAATAGAGTAATTAGAAGTCCCCTGTATTTTTGAAACCTAAGTAAGTAAAGAAAGACCTGTCAATTTGCGTGTGTGTGTGTGTGTGTGTGTTTGTATGTATGTGTGTATAGCAACTGTGGTCATAAGATCAACGTATATACTTGGTTATTTCTGATACCTGAGATCAGCTATATGCAAGCAGATAGGACATATATATATTTTGTGGAAGTAACTCAAATTGGGTGAAAACGGTTAGACCCAAGTGAGAGAGAACCAACCAGAGACCGATATTAAATCCACACAGGAATTTATTACTGGCTGGGACCCAAGCCGAGCATCGGACTCGAGCGCCGACTGGGGGGAGACTAACATGTTTTATACACCTTTGAGGCCAACAGTTTCTAGGGCCCCCTATGGGATAGAACTAGCAAAGCAAGCGAAAGGTACAGAAGCGGAACGTCCTGCCGTTAGAACATTTGTAAAACAATAGTTGATTAATTGTTGTTTCTAAGAGACTTTCTAAGGGGAGGAGGTTTCTAAGCTTCCTCCTTCTAAGTTCATCTAAAGGGCAGGCAGGTGGGTTGTCCAGCAATATGGAGTCTGTTTTGCTAACTAGGGTCCTTCAAGAACTTGATTGGAACCTGTTTTGTGTGGTATTTTTTTGGTAGTTTCTCAAACTGACCAGAGGTATATGTTAACATCTCTTCTGTGTGACAGTTATCTTATTATTTTTATAAAAGAAAATGAAGCTGGGCTTGGTGGCACATGCCTCTAATCTCAGTACTGAGGAGGCTGAGGCAAGAGGATTGCAGCAAGTTCAAGGCCAGCCCGGGCTACATAGTGAGTTCAAGCCCAGCCTGAACTGCATAGCAAGACCTCATCTCAAAAAACCAAAAAAACCAGGATTTTTAAATAGGATTACATATTTTCTCATGTAAAGAAAATCAAGGTCAAAAATACTTTTCTTATTAAAAGTAACTTATTCTAATATTATAATTTTTTAAAATTTTTACACTGGATTCCAGGCATAGTGGTACACGCCTGTAAATCCCAGCACCCAGGAGGCTAAGGCAAGTTCAAGGTCAGCCTGGAGTACATAGCAAGACCCTGTCTCAAAAAACAAAACAACAAAAAAATTTTACATTGGTTTAAATAATTGCTCAATATGCCCATTTGCTGCTGGTTACATCTTTTTTGGACAGCAGAATCATAAATACATTTACATCTCTTCACGAGCAGTTACTTCTGCTCCAGAAAATTCACACTCAAGCATCCAACTCTAAGCCAAACAGTGTTTCTCAGCAACATGAGCAAACTTATTCCAAACCAGACTTAGCTTCCTTCATAGTCCTGTTTGTCTTCTGTGACGCTGCTGTTTTCCCACTTGCGGGGGCTTAAGCCTTTATACCCATCTTGTATACTTCTCCTTGCCTTCCAAGTCAGACAGTGGTTCGTGCTACTGCACATTTCTTCTCATTCTCACTTTATTTGCTTCCCTGGTTGTTATTTGAGCCTCTGTTACCTCTTCCAAAGCCTTTTGGTAAGACTTGTCTCCTGTTTTCATCTCTTTTTAATTTGGCTGCATTCTCTTTTAGATTTATCTTTCTAAATTACAGTCATCAGTACTCAAACACTTGAGTGGTTCCCTATTTCCCGAAAATAGAGTTCCTACTCTGTACCATAAATTTTAAAACTCTTAATAAACCTTGTGTGAGCATTTTTTTTTAACTTCTTACTATTTCTCTTTTCATGCTATATGCTGTAGGATTTTTTTTTGCCCCTCAGTACTGGAGATTGACCCAGAGACTTCACACAGAGATACATCATCAGCCCAAGAAAGAAAAAGAGATGGGGGGAGGAAGGGAGGGAAAGGAAGGAAATGTTTTTGTTTTGCTTTGCAAGAAAGAGTCTCCCTGTGTGGTTCAGGCTGGCCCTGAACTCAGGGCAATCCTCCTGCTTCAGCTTCCCAGTTGCTGGGATTACAGGCATATGCCACCATGTCTGGCAGCTCTTTTTTAAAATTTTGGAAAAGATTTTTACCAAGTTCCTCCTGATATTAGAAGATTTCTTAGTTTACCGAGCCCTAGATCCCCTTTTCAAATTGCAGTAGGTCCAGATTATATGTATTTTTGAATACTGGTTTAAAACCTTATTCTTTAGAAAACTTTGCCTACTTGCCTGGTCTAGAATAGTCGTCTTCCCTTTTTTCCCTCATCCTGTTTTCCAGTTAATTATGCATATTTCATATCTTTCATATAGTGGTACCTGGGTTTACAAACTGAATTTGTTTTAAGATTTTGAGGAGGATTGCCACGTTTATGTTTGTCGGGGGAAGATGGCCATGGTCATGTTTATCACATGATGTGGAGACTGTAAACAGAAACAGAATTTTGCCAATTGCTTTTGTCTGTGAACCAAATTGTTTGCAAACAAAGTGTTCATGAACCGAGGTATTACTATGTACGCTTCTTAAGAGCAATGATACTTTCATCTTTATTCTTCAGTATGCTTTGTGTAGAATTGTGTTCATTTACCACATATGAAATAAATGAAATGGCAGCCAATCAAAACTGACTTTATGTAGCCTTGGGCATAATCACTCACAAATTACATCCTCAGATAGTCAGGTTACAGCGCGTAACGAGCACAGTGCTGAGCAGAACACAAGCACTCCCAAAGGAAATACTGGCACTGTGGGGCCAGATGGAGTCATTCTGTGTGAAACCTCAGACTTTGAGGATCAGCCCTCAGAACCTCTTCCTTCTCTTCCCATTCCCTTCCTCTTTTGGGTTTCCCTTTCAACCTGCCTGTTTTCTACATACTGTAATACCTTAGAAACCAATTAATGACTTAAGATGTTTAATGATGGATGGATGGAGTGTTAACAACCATGATGTAATATTTTCTCTTTCTGCATTTGAATGAGACAGAAAAACATTATATAAGGACATTTGTATATAAAGAAGCCTTTAACATATTTTTTCTTTTTACTTAGACCTGAGACAATGAGCAATATTTCTTTCAACATTTCTTTACTTATAAAAATATATAGTATAAAAATATTAGTACATTAAAAATTATTAATGTCAACTTATCTTAGAAGTTCAGGGCCGGGGGTTTAGCTCAGTGGTACCACAGCCTGCCTTGCAAGCGCAAGGTCCTGAGTTCGATCTCCGGTACCAAAAAAAAAAAAAAAAGTAAAGTTCAAACTTAACATGTCCTTCATAAGACTTACCTAATCCTTCATCTTTTGGCAGCATATATATATATATAGTTTTATGTTTGTGGAATACTGTATTAAGCAAATTGTTTCATTGACCAAGATTTCACCTTCCTTTGTCACAGAACACTTTTTGTGGGATCTTGATGTTTCTGTTACCTCAAGACTGCATGCTGATTTTAGTTGTTCTAAAATAACCTAGAAAAGGACCAGGGATTTAGCTCAGTGGTTCCACTGCCTGCCTCACAAGTGCAAGGTTCTGAGTTCAATCCCTGGTACTAAAAAAATAAAAAATAAAATACCGTAAAAAAGAAATATGGGGCTAGGGATGTAGCTCAGTGGTGCAGTCCTTGTCTGATGTGTGCAAGCCCTAGGTTCAATCCACAATGCCATGAAATAAAAGAAAGAAGAATTTGTGGAAAATGACTGCCTACATGGGTTTCTGTTATAAGTTTTTGCTATTTTTTAATCTCTGTTCATACAAAGCCAGAACAAGTCTATTAGCCTTAGCAAGTTAGCAAAACAGTCCATGTCCTTCAAGAACAAAAATTATTTGATTATATTTACCAATTAAGTTCACCAAAAGCAGTAACTGCTTTTCTTTCAAAGACACTGAATTTATTGTTTTACTTTTCATTTTTTCTGTTTTGATACATATATCTAACATGTATTTACTGAACATCTACTCTCTGCCAAGTACTGTACTATCTCAGAAAAAAATGATAAAAACTAGGCAAAGATCTCATCCTCATGGAGCTTACATTCTCATAGAAGAGACAATAATTAAGAAACTGAGATAAAAGGTAACGTGGAAAGTACAGGCTTCTGTGAGATTGACTAGATCTATTTATAGACATCAAATTCTTTCCCTCACAGTTATTCTTTTATTTGCAGTTATCATGTTAAGATTATTTACTCACATGTTTCTCCCACTTTCAACTCATATGTTTGAACTCTTTAGTGCTCAGTGCATAATATTCTAACTACAAATATTTATTGAATTAACATGTTTGATTAAAAAAAATTTTAATTTTATAAAACCATGTTATAATATCCTAAATACTAGGTAATAAGTAAACATTTCAAAATATTCTTTGTTTTTCTTTCTTTCTTTGGTTCCTTCTTTCTTTCTTTAGGATTTACAAGGTCGTCATCAAATGTACAGCAGATTCCCAGTTTTGACTTCACATCCACAAATATCCTATCAGAAGACTCAGTAGTAGTTGTTGGAAAAGGTAAAGTTATTTAGGTTTTTTTGGTAGTACTGGAGATTGAACCCAGGGCCTCATACTTGCTAGGCAAGTGCTCTACCACTGAGCTATATCCCTAGCCCATCAAAGTTATTTAGCTTTTTAATTGTATGTGTTCTTTACCCATAAGCAAATCATGTCAGTGAAGAATAAAGGAGTGATTCAAGTCTCGAATGGAAATTTTTTTTTAATTATTAGAAGAACTAGAAGTGATAACATGCCTTCACGTTTCTGCCCCTTGACAAAACCTGGGTAACTTGTCAGTAATTTTCAGAGATATATCATGTGATAGCTATTATTGAGGTACTTCTAATTCAGTTTTGGGATAGCTACAATAATTATATCATAGTTTAAATTCAAATGGTACACCTTATTTATCATCTTAAAAATCAGTAACTTATTTTATTATCTTCCCAACAAAGTCTAGATAAGACCTCTTGAGCCTGGCATGGTGGTGAATGCCTGTAATCCAAGTACCTGGCAGGCTGAAACAGGAGCAATAGGAGTTCAAGGCCAGCCTGGGGCACATAGTGAGTTCAAGGCCAGTGAGAACTACATAGTGAGATTCTGTCTCAAAACAAACAAATCAACCAAACCCCTCTTACCTATTTTAGGACCACTAAGAGATCTTTGGAAACATAATTACAACTACTTTTTAAAATTAGATTCTTTTTAAACTGTAGAATATGGTAATATACCTTGAGCCCATCTGTCTTCTTTTTGTTCAAGATAAGGAAATTCCAGGATAAAATTCCTGGAAATATTTTCTAACTTCTTTGTTTGATAGTTTATGATTAGAGTAATTTAAGACCTTCAGATTGGCTCCAGCCTATTCTTGCAGATTTATTTTCTGTTATTTGTCTTTGTATGCTTTATATTTGTTCAACTGTGCATATAAATAATCTCATCTCATAGACATTCTCTCTACTTTTCTATCCAAATCCATTGTGACTTCTTTTTTTTTTTTTTTTTGTACCGGGGATCGAACTCGGGTCCTTGTGCTTGCAAGGCAGGCGCTAGAACCACTGAGCTAAATCCCTGGCCCCCATTGTGACTTCTAATCCCAGCTCAAACCCATGTTCCTTGAAATTGTTTTAAACACCCAGTTCACATCAACCTTCCTGTGAACTCCGTGCCTATAATATACAGGTCTCACTGGCTATTATGAACTACTTTCTGGACCTCTTTTATTGTCTTGTAGAGATATTTGTTTGTATATTTTATAATTAGTTAACATGTCTTTCTTATTTTATTGTTCCTTGAATACAATACCCTTGTTTTAAACTTTGTTATCCACAGTGCCATCACATAAATACTTAATGACTATTCGAGGGTTGCTTGATTACAGGTGTATTTGGAAATCCAAATTCAGCACCAGCAACCTGCAGCCAACCAGTGGTACCTTCTGTGGAAAATGGGGATACATTTTCAGTTAAATCAAGTATTGAACCACCATCGGGGATTTATGGAAGAGCAGTCCAACAGAGTATTCCATCTTATCTTGATGTTGAAAATGACAAAGATGTAAGATTACTTTTTAATCATTAGGATAAGTTTAAACCTATGATATGTCATTATTTTATGTATGTCAGATGTGGGATAGTAAAAATATTTTGATTAAAAAATTTGAAATTTGATCTAAAAGGAATTTCTGATCCTTAATTGTTTAAAAATAGACTATTCTTCTTTCCTACATAAATGTTTTCTCATTCTAGTACAATATGCATTGTGTGTGTGTATGCGTTTATATATGTATGTATTTAGCAGTTTTGTAAAACACACTCAGGTATCCTTAGGCACAAGTTTAATTAAATATTGAAACTATGTAATTCTATTTTAGGATTCCTAAAATAAAGACTAAAAAACATATGGTTTATTTTTATAGACATTTAACATGCATATATATAGTTATCTGAAATGAAGATATTTTAAATATCAAACTCCCTGAATACTTCCAGATATTTCAACTTTTTCATGCAGACTAAAGTTGCTATGTCAAAATCTACATATGACAAGATGAGACAAAAGAGAAAAGAAGAAAAAGAACTTTTTGATGTTAAAGATTGTGAAAAGAAAGAACAGAATCCTTGGGAACGAATGAAACATATAGGAACTGAGAAAACAACATCAGAAAGTAAGTGGGATTTGTCTTTTGGTTTGTTTTTTTGGTCTAGTAATATTCTAAAGCTGGTGTAATATGATTTAACTGCCAGTGATACGTAACTAAGAATGGATTGTGTTGACCCATAACACTGAAATTTGCAAGATCCAGTAGCTTCAGTTATAATAAATATTTTCATAAAAAGAAAAAGAATTGGGCCGGGGATTTAACTCAGTTGTTCCACCACCTGTCTCACAAGCTCAAGGACCCGAGTTCGATCCCCAGTACCAAAAAAAAAAAAAAGAAAAAGAATTTTCTCACAAAGTTAAGTATTTTTAGAAGTGAAGTGGGGATATCAAAAAATGAGTATTCTGGGGCTGGGAATTTAGCTTAGTGGTTTTGCCACCTGCTGTGCAAGCTCAAGGACCCGAGTTCTATCCCCCATACCCCCCCCCCAAAAAAAATGAGTATTCCCCTTTAGAGAACACTGCTGTCAAGCTAAAGTAAATACATATTTCTTAGAAGTATAAATGACCAATAAATGCATGAAAAAATCTTCAACATTTCTGGTCATTAGCGAAATGCAAATTAAAACAACACTGAGGTTCCATCTGACTCCAGAAAGAATAGCTGCCATCAAGAAATCAACCAATAACAAATGTTAGTAAATCTGTGAAGGGAAAAAGGGGTGAGAAGAGTGTGCCAAGGCACCATGCTCCAGAATGTTGGCTGCCTAGGAAATGGGAATTGATTGTGAGAATGTAAACCAGTACAACCATTATGAAAATCAGTATGGAGAGTTCTCAAAAATTAAAACTAGAAATTCTGTTTGGCCCAGCTATTCCTCTTCTAGGTATCTTCCCCAAAGACTTAAGGGCAACATGTTACAGTGATACATGCATTCTCCTGTTTATAGCAACAGTTCATAATAGTTAAATCTTAGAAATAGCCTATATGTCCATCAACAAATTCATAGATAAAATATTGTATTTATATACAATGGAGTACTACTGTGCCATAAAGGAGGAGTCAGATGTAGGAAAGTGGATATACATTGAGACCTTAATGTTAAGTGAAATAAATCTGATATACATGCTTAAATATTGCATAATTTCACCTATATTATACAAAAGTTCCAAATTATAAATAAACAGCAAAATAAAAGATAGATAATAGGAAATAGGCAGATAGATCTTTTGCGAAAGAGAAGAAGACCAAGAGGGGAAGGGAAGAGGGTGGAAAAGAATTAAGATGTGTTATATACATGTACCAATGCCCCACAAGGAATGTATTATGTACTATAAACATGTACTAATAAAAAATAAAAATTAGAGGGCCAGGGATTTAGCTCAGTGGTTCTGCCGCCTGCCTCGTAGGCACAAGGACCTGAGTTCGATCCCTGGCACCAAAAAAAAATTAGAAAAAAATAAAATTTCTTATATATTATGGAAAAAATTAAGAAGAAAAGAAAACATTGCCTTCAGCCTTCCATTAAAAGGAGGGGCCAGTTTAAAAGAGTTACCATCTTTGGTGCTTTCAGATTCAAGTAAGTCACTTATTTAAATGTAAAGAATAATGTTTTAAATGCTTGCTAAGCTGGAGAGTGTCGTAGTTACTTCCTTGTTGCTAAGACAATACCTGATGCTGACAGATTAAAGGAGGAAAGGTTTATTTTGACTCACAGTTTGTAGAGGTTTCAGTCCATACTCTTTTGGCTCCAAGGCAGAGGATGGCATGGCAGCAGGAAGCAGAGACATGGAGAGAGGTATATACACTTGCAGGCCATGCCCCTGACCAGACTTCTCCCAACATCACATTTAGCTAGAAATTCATCAGTGGATTAATCCTCTGGTGAATATCATACTCCAGTGATGCAATCACCTCCCAGAAGCCCCACCTATGAGCATATGAGGCTTTGCAAGACATTTATAGATATACCAGCAACACTTGGATGATGCCAATATCTGCTGGCAGGTAGAGCAGTAGCTGAGCCCTCTTGCATCTTGCTGGTGGTTGCAGAGGCCTCTTGAGTACCTGGATGGCTGACCATCATGAACTGAGTCCTGGAGAATCAGTTCCTATTCCTCAGCTGCCACCATCCTGGAGCATGGTGCCTTGGAACTCTCTTCTCAGTGTAGTTTCTCACTATTGGAATTTTTTTTTTTTT